ATATATATATATATATATATATATATATATATATATATATATATACAGCGCCATTTATATTGGTGAGTTATTTTGATGGAATGGCCGATATTTTATCTCTAATATCGGCCGATGCATGACGATAATATCGTGCATCCCTAATGTTTATCACTGTTAATGTTAAATTAATATTGAACCATGTGTATGAGGTCTGAGAGTTCTTTATCGCTGAGAGAAGCTGATTTGATACAACTGGGAGGCTGAGCTCATCAATGGCTGTCTGTGAGGGCTGATGAGCATTATAAAAACACTTCCTGTACACTGTCCGGTGCAGTTTCGCGACCAGACCTTCAATTCAACATCTGTGTAAGCCCGTGTGAACATCTGCCCTTGCAAGAAAACTGGGTTAAAAAAAATCTCCTGTCTTTGTGTGTGGCTCTTTTTAAGTAAGTATATATTGAAAATATGTTTTTAATTTAACCGTTTTATTGCAAGGCAATTTGCTCACCTCTGTAGGTGGTGGTGTAGATCTCGTTGAGTTGAGTTCGGATCCCTTTGGTATCTGCACGTGGAGCCTTCTGTGGTTTTTGCATCCATTGTGTTGACACGTGCACCGATCTGAAACACACACTTATTTTTAGATTTTTCACAAAAGTTGGGGATGGTTTATTTTATTTGATATCTTTTACAGCAGTGATTCCTAAAGTTGTGGGCAGGGCTCCATGGTGCCACGAAGCACCAAGTGAGGGTCCTTAGATGATTTCCAATTCAATTCAGTTTATTTATGCAGCATCACGTCACAACAGAAGTCATCTGAACAGAAACATTCGTATGTATAAAATAATAATTTAACATTATTTATCTGAGGAGCAGACTGCTGTGAATTTAACTCCATCACAGAGTCTCATCTTGAGCATGGAGGCAACAGTGGAAAGTAAAAACTCCCTCATGAGGAAGAAGACTTAAGCAGAACCAGACTCGGAACAAGTGGCCATCTGCTTCGACCAGCTGGGTTTGAGAGGAACAGATACACAATGGCAGGTCGAGAATCACATGTTAAGATGGAAATAGTATCAAATGAAATCTAATTCAATTGTTACAGTTCATTTTAAGAAATGAGGTCAGTTTGTCCTCCTGTAGTCTAATCCTATAGCAGCATAGCAAGCCAACCCTAACTATGGGATTTATCAAAAAGGAAAGTCTTAAACTGGACAATGTGTCAGCCTCACGGACAGAAACTGGAAGTTGGTTCCACAAGAGAGGAGCCTGATAACTGAAAGATCTTCCTCCCATTCTGCTTTTGGAAACTCTAGGAACTGCAAGTAAGCCTGAAGTCTGAGAGTGAAGTGCTCTGTTAGGAAAATATGGAACAATAAGATCTGTAATATAAGATGGAGCTAGGTTGTTGAGGGCGTTGTAGGTTAAGATTGTATTTTGTGAATTCTCGTGTATTTTTTGTGCATTTCAAGAAATACAGTAGTCCTCAAATATGAAAAATATAATCTGATAGTTTGAGTTTTCATTTTGCTTTAAGAATGTTAGCGAGTTTGTATACAATGTTTGGCATAAAAAGCCTCTGCTGCTTTTTTTTTTTTTCTTCTGTATGTCTGAAACTTGAACATTTGGGGACCCCTGTTGTACAAGCATGGCAATTTCAACTTCCCAGACTAAGTTGTGCAAAACTAGCATTTGTCCAGTTGATTTAACTGGTTCCACCCATCTACAATCTGGAGTACTCTGTAAAAATTTTAAAAAGTAGTACCTAATGGTGGCAATATTAGCCGCTGTGTCAGTCTGCGGAGGATGAGGGTCTTCCTGTTTGGACTTGGTGGTTGCTGCATAGGGCTTGACCGGGGGCCGGAATTTGTCCTGGTACTCTGTGGTCATGCGTGGACCAGTTTGGACTTTCCTATAAGCCTTGTGATTCCTGCAAATATCAAGTTAAAGTACACCATTAACATAAATTCCTTCAAAAAGCAACATTAGGAGGAAAAACATGGTAATATGTATGAACCTGAGGGAGAACAGCTTACTGTACCTCGTCTTGTGGACAGATGATTAGCATTTATTGTGTTTATAATCACGGCTTCCCAAAATCTGTGAGATGTACTTACATACGGCCAAATGATTTAAACACAAATTGCAACGTATTACCATCTGGGAACGAGAGCATTTGCACGTATGCAAAAGGAAAGGGATGACTGCTTTAAGCTGTTTTGTGGGTGAGCTGAATAGTTTGGGAACAGGGTCAACAAGTAAATATTATAAATATTTCAGTCTCTAAGCATTTTACATAGAAACTGAATTTGGGGGCCTATTTTCAATCAGGCCCACATTGACGCTTCTGTAGCTGTGCCACCACTATCAATTTTGTGACTAAAAAGCACATCATTAATTCCATATTTTTGTTCTTAAATCACATTTATTAAAAAAATAAATAAATAAACTGATATCAGCTCACCTCATTATTGTTGCCCCTTATTTTTACTCCTAGTTTTTTTGAGGTATCCCTCCGCGAAACCGGCGGCGGAACAAACGAAGTGACCGGTAGGATTTGAGAGCAAACGCCGACCGTTAGGAGGTGTGATGCGGCCCGCTGACAAGGTGAGGACATCGTTTATGTTGATGCTATTTTAGAGGCGAATTATTCAAAAACTGCTATGACAACGTATTTAAAAAAAAATAGAAACTGCTGTTATGACAACAT